ATGAGACAAATCCCTTGTTTTCAACTTTCACACTGGGGTTGCAGAAAAATAACAGCGACTGCCAGCATTGTTAATTGGCCCATTCTTGTGTATTATTGAAAGTGCAAGCTATTTTGTAAAACACCTTGTGCTTCAAGAGCATTTACCTTAACTTTCAGTATAAACTTGTTACTGTAACTGAATCTTGGTGGTTAAACATGAGGATTGTGATGGATGCATCTAGAAGTCACTTTTAGAAGTCAAAACACAATACTGACAGTTTGATCCCATTGACAAGATCTAACTGTCACTGGCTACATGATCTGCATTCTCTTGGCTATGACCACGCCATTTACAGTAATTTTCCGCTAGTCAAAGTGAAAGGTCATCATCTGTACATAACTGACAGCTTCCTATGGGTGGTCACTTACAGCTTGGCCCATTTTTCTTTTAATCATCTGGAGCTTGTTGGTATTTTATAGCATATACAGACATAGAGTATTGGTGATCTGGGTTCTAGCTCCCACCCAGCTGTGAAGCTCCTTGGGTGATCTTTGCCCAGTCCCTGCATCTCAGCTTCATCCACCACACAGGCTTGCTGTGAGGATAAGAGGAGGATCAGGATGGCGGCATTCATGGGCCTGGAGTCCTTGTAAGAAAAGTGAGATATAAATGTTAATTATAATGTTAAAAATAAAAGAGAGGCAAAAGGAATACAGCCTAAAAGTGAGTATTAACTGTTGTGTCTAGACCAGCTTTCCACTGCATTTCAAGTAAGTTGGATGGTTATTCCCATCATTCCAGGTCAATGCAGCCAACTCTCATGCAGCCTGAGGATAATGGGAGTTGCAGTCTAGCACAACTTAGACACATGTTGAGGTAGGCGTGTCCAAAATCTGTTGGTTTCTTCCTGGCTAACAGTAAGTGAGAAACAATGTTGTGAATACATATCCACAATTGGGAATGCAAAATGTAGAGCTTACCCAGGGGGAAGAGAGGAGGCTTCTTTGTAACCCTGGAGGTCCTAGTGGAACACTTAAAGTCTAACCAGGATTAACCATTGAGTACAGAACACGGAAGTTCAGAACACAGACATTTTCCATAGATTACTTTTCATGAAGCGTTTCTTGGCCTGCTAAAGCAGGGAGGCTCTTAATGCTGCTCCCTTCCTGAAATGAAAAGCCTCCAAGAAACTCAAAGCACTGAGCAAGATGATACGCAGTCATTGGCACTGCAAGCCGCAGGGTTGGTCCTGCATACTTGAGGGAATGTTGGCATCTCAAGTATTGGGTGAGGATCATGAAACCAATAACTAAACCTCACTGATAAGAGAAAGCAAGGAGGAGTTGCTTAGTTATGGTATCTAACCTCAGATGAAGTACTGAACAGAGCTCCTGCTTCTAAGATCATGACGCATCTAAATCGTGAAGAAGGTGCCCGGAGATGTTTGGGTTGGGGTGATTTCTCCTGACCCTTCTGCTGTTTATATTCAAAATCATTGCTGACAATGGAGGGGAGGCAAGTATGGAGATATGGCATTCCCAGGTGTTTTTAGTACCCATGTATATACATGCCATGCTAAAGGTATTTTTGAACAGCACAGAGGGGAAAGGGTTAAGAACTGCTCATCCATCTTGCCATTCCTGATTGCCACTTCCAGCAGCTGCTTTGCATATAAGAAAGAAAGAGGAAGCATTGTTACGCATAATTCTGTATAAGGAGTAGTTTGACCCTAATTATACAGCTGTTGCTTTGTAAAATCTATGTAATGTTGTTAGGTTTCAGGACAGCATAGTTCAAGTCCTCCAGTTCACATGAATAACCGGTGCCATGCATCTAGAGAGGAAATTGTTTCTGTCTGTTTCTGTATTAGTTCTGTCAAAAACTTTCTATGGAGCAACATGTTGCATAGAGCCAATCAGGCAGTTTCTAGGTTGGGCATTTGCATTGGGCTTACTGGAGCTGTTGAAATTTCTTTCTTTGTCAGCTCATCTATTGTGTGTCAGCTTTTAGGAAAGTCTCTTTTTAGCTCATCTTGACCCACTTTATTTAAGTTTATGCCAAATTGAACTGGTAAATTTCTTGTGGGTGGGGGGACCTAGGAATTAAGTAGTTCTTTACCAAACTCAATGGTGAGTGTTCCCATGCATTGATAGTAGCAACACCAGCCTGGCATCCCTGCAGAGATGAGGTTTAATCACTCTTATCTGATCACAATGTGGAGGAACTGCAAGGAACACCAGGAATCTGGGCACAGGACAAGCCTTGGAACCAAACTGGATATAATGTGATGGATCTGTGAAATTGTCATTGTATTAATACATCAGTATACACATGGGGTGGTAACTCTCCCTCTTCCCAAGTCTAAATCAGCTCCCTCAGATTTGTAATTAGCTCCACGGGTGGAAAACCCAAGGTGCATAGAGCTAGTAGCAGCTTTGACAAGTGATTTAGATCAGGGAAATTGGGGTGTGTTTAAAACTCATTGCTAGTTCTGCTGTCCTCTTACAGATTTGGCTTGTGACTTTTGGACTGCAGTGTTTAGTAGACTTTGAGTGCCAGTTAACTACCTGTAGTAGGGTCTTACAAAAATGCAATAGAGCAAATATTCTTGGTGGGTTCCATTTTTCATTTCATACTAACAATGATGAGCTGGATCCATTTTTCCTTTTTAGTAATTAAAAAGAACTTGCATAAAATAATGACATTTCATGTATAAAGAAAAAGGAAAACATACAGATTTATAAAGAAAAACAGGAAAATTTTAAAAGCTTAATAGTTAACAAGAAATATTATTTCCTTAAAAATTTCTTTTCCTTTGACTTCTAGTTCTAATAACTCAAAGAGGTCTCTTTTAAGTAACATGTTTCTTATCAGTTTTGCAACTGTTCAACAAACAGGTACACAGGTCCGTTTCCAGTAAGACACTTCCTCCTTCCAAAGTTAGCACACAATTATACCTTTTTGTCCAGAGATTACCTCATAGCTAATATGAGCTGTTGTCCCATGAACTGGGGCCCACAACCTTAAACACTGTTACTAAACATTCCTAAAAAGTTACCCCTATGTTTTCTAGTAAAATCTGATTCACACCTTTCAGAAGATAATTCCTGGCTCACATTGCAGTCCCACACTTGTTCCTTACTCAGAATAATTTTTGACGCAAGTGATGGGGCTTTAGTTCTGTATTTTCTCTTTGGATACCATTCAAGTTATCTTTTTTTTTTTTTAATTACGCCAGTTATTCAGGATTCTTTGTAAATCTTGTATCTTCCCTTTAATACAGTTATTACTGTTTACTTATTTACATCTTCAAATTCTTAATGATGGTAGCATTAAACATTTTCAGATATATATCACAATGCATAACAAGACAACCTATATTGTTTTGAGATTGGTAGGCTAACAGTTTTTCAAAAGCCTTCTCAGCAATTCCAGTAAAACATAATTAGTAATTTCGCAAAGCTAACTCACATTCTATTCAAAGTCAGAGTGTCCTGTACCTGTTTTAAGCAAAAACATGCCAGGCTAGTTTGCATGTTGTAATAAGCCACAGTGACCACGAGGTTTGCTGGCTGCCATTTTAATTGTGTAAGCTGCACCAGGCACATGCCGTAGCATCTCATGTCATGCAAAACAGCTTGTTGTGGGTTATGTGAGAGCCTAGAACAACTACTGTAAGCCCCCGCATGGGCTGGCTGATTTTTGAATATTCAAGCTTCAGTTCATGCAGTTGTCTCAACCTGGAGCCTGTGGATTACATGAGGGTTACACAAAGGACTTTTTAACCCTCACATAACCCACAGTCCCCAGGTTCAGACAGCATGACAAGCTGCAGTTGAGGCTTGAATGGGGCTGGCAGCACACAGTGCCTCATGTTAAGCCATGGTGGGCTGCTTGATCATGCAGATTGTCTCATTGTACACTTCCCTGTGTTGCCTGCTTGTGTTCAAGCTGATCATCCTTTGGCGCTCTTGATAAGCACACAGGCACCAGGAATACTCAAGTTTAGGAAATCTGCATTTAATATCAAGTTCCACAATTGCAGAGTGAGCCTGCTTATTGTAATTAATGGCCCAATTCACATGATTACTGCAGTTTAAAGGAGGCATCTTTTAGCTGCAGTGTATGCCAGTACATGCCAGGTTTCATTTGCTTAATTACCCTTCAGGGTACAGCTTGTGTCATCCAGACCTGGGCAGCATAGCTTACTGAAGGGGCAAAACCTTCAAATAGCCCATGGCTTGCTGATGGGTTATTTCTCCTTTAGATAACCCATGCTGCTGGGAGTTTGAAGAACACAGCTATCTGGACCAGGCAGGAAATTAGGCAAATAGTGCCCAGAATTCACTGCAGCTTTAGAATACCATGGTGATTATGTGAACTGGGTCAGTATGTCTGAAAGTTGCAGTTCACTTGTTCTTTCAATACAAATGTGTACATTACCTTGCGGTAATTCATGGGCGGGGAATCTTTTTTCTGTTTTGTTTTTTCTTTTTGCATTCCTCCTCCAAATCTATAGGCCACACACAGTGAATGTGTTCAGTGTGTGCATATGTGTGTGTGTGAGAGAGAAAACCTGCAGTAGATAGGGCTGTAGTCTAAAATATGGCCAGAGTTCTGTATTGACTGCTTGCAGAAGACTTCTGAAATGAAACTGAGGTACAGTCTTGTTCTGAATGGGGCCATTTCTTCAGAAATGCTCAGAGGTGTGCTGCAGAGGACATCCTCTAAAACCAACTGCCTGGGGATAACCAAAAGTATTATGCAATTCTTGTGTTCCCTGAGAAGTGTTGCAAAGAGTCCTCCTGGGTGGAGTCCTCTGTGGGTGAAGTGGCACGATAAAAGGGTCTTTCAACACAAGGACTCTTGAGCAAGGGTGGGCCTCTCTTGAGACATTCTGCCTTGCAGCTAGGAATGCTGTAATGTTACAGACAAAGGGGACCAGGAGCTCGGGTGGGAACCATGGACTTCTCTGTTTGTTGTGCGGAAATAATACTTTCCCTCCATTTCCTCTCCAGCTGTTTCTTCAAAAATGGACCTTGACCTGCAGTGTCAAGAACTCGTTGGGACAAAATGGAAAGAACTTATTCCATCGCTGAACCAGTACAAAACCATTAGGTACGTAAAACAGTAGCGCCTGTCTGACACCTGCGTGACTTGGAGATGCTTCTCAAGGGATCTAATTGGGTTCTCTGCACAAGGCATTTATTGTACACTTGCAATCCTTCACTCACAGACGTTTGTAGGGCCTTTTCACAGTGTGAAAGTCCTCCAGGGCTTCTCCCATTTTTCTAGCCCGTTTAAAGTTTTTTAGAGTGAAGAGAATTAGGTATTAAATTTCAGATGGCAACAAACAAAAAAAAGTGAAAAGTGGGGAATGTGCTGTACCACAGTGTACTACAGCGCCACCTTGTGGTTGGCTAATAGAATATATAGAAAGGCACAGAAATACAGACGGTGGGCATGTAAAGGATGCATAATGAAAATGGAAGATGCAGCAGGTTAAACTCTTCATGCGAAGATGCCTTAGCTAGGGGTGTTCGCCCTCTTTTTATTAAGCCTTTAAAGAAGAATAGAGCTATTCCGGTTTTCTGTCCCAAATGTGGTGATGCATCTCAAGCACTGTCTTGTACATTAGCTTTGGTTGCGGAGGCACAAGTAGCAGCATTTGGTTGTGGTGCTGTCAGGGTAGAGTGGCCGCCATTGGAATGAAAATTTCCTTCCCGGTTAGAGACGTTCTTGTGCATGGGAAGTGACCAAGGGAGAATTTCAGTCTACGACGAGCAGAACTCAGTCCTGAGTTTTGGATGCTGCTCACAGCTAGCAATCTATGAGCTGCTGGTGCTTGTCTGAGCCAATTCTCTATGTGCATGCTGGCTTTCTGTTTCTTGATGCTCCCAGTTACTGCTTGGAAGATGCAAGAAACTTGCCACTAATTTAAAACCTCCTTGGTTTTGGCATGTTGTGTGACAGAGAGGTTTTGTTTTTGTTTTAATCTACTAGATTTTATTCAAATGATTTAAATATTTTGGAAGTCCTCTGATGCATCTTGGGAGAAAAGAGAGTCATGGATGATAAATGCATTATTGAATTGGTTAACTAGATCTCATTATTTTTTCTTAGGTTGGATGATTGCAGTCTGGTGGCTAGCAATTGTGAAGATCTCGCCTCTGTTCTGAAGACCAATCAAACCCTGACTGAGCTGAAGCTGAACAATAATGAACTGCAAGATGCTGGGGTGGACCTGCTGTGCAAAGGATTGCTGAATTCAAGTTGCAAGCTTCAGAAACTATGGTAAATCTCCTGCAATTCATAGTGGCTTATGTTGGATTAGATCAGGTGGAACAGTCTGTAGCTCTTCCAGTGTTGGTGGCCTCAAGTTCCTGTCAGCCCAAGTCCATGTGGCTTAGAGTGAGTAAAGGAGAGAGTGGCAGATCAAATCACTTGGGGACCCACTTGCACATCCCTGCAGTAAAACCGAGAAACAGAGCAAGTCAGAAGGGGTCTCCCGGGTCATCTAGTCTGACCCCCGGCTCCAGCCAGCTTCGCTCATGACATGCCCACCATGTGCATGTCTAGCCTATCTTTGAACATCCTCACCAATGGGGCCTCAACGACCTCCCATGGAAGCCCATTCCACACCCTTGGGGTCCTGACTGTCAGGAAGTGCTTCCTGGCATCTAAATTGAACCTTGACTCCCTGAGCTTTGCTCCGTTGGAACGTGTCCTGCCTTCCTCTGCAGGGGAGAACAGGTCTCGACCCACCTCCATGTGACATCCCCTCACATACCTGTATGTCGCTAACATATCCCCTCTGAGTCTCCTCTTCTCCAGGCTGAAGAGACCCAATTCCCTCAGTCTCACCTCATACCCCATCCCCTGCAACCCGGCCACCAACCTTGTGGCCCTACGCTGCACTGACTCCAACCTGGCTATATCCTTTCTGTAATGAGGGGCCCAAAACTGAACACAATACTCCAGTTGCAGGCGTACCAGAGTCGTATAGAGTGGTAGTAATACCTCTCTCGATCTAGAAGCCACACTTCTGGCTATGCAACCAAGGGTGGTGTTTGCCCTCTTGACCGCTGCATCACACTGCTGACTCATGTTTAGCCTGCACTCAACCAGCACCCTGAGGTCCCTTCAGTAGGTGAAGTTCTCTACATCTACGTTAGCATGACCTTCCATGATGCTCCCTTTGGGAACTGGCTGAGCCAGTGGCCCAGGATTATTTCTTCCTGCCTTAGAGTAAGTGCTCAATCTGACCACTGTTTCATTGTTGTTGAGTAATCTTTCAGAGATTTTTCTAGATGCTTCTGTAGGACCGCAAATGAAAGATACAGCCAGTAGAAGAAAATTGTGAATTCTAGGAAAAGCTCACTTTATTCTGAATTGTTCTTCCAGGCTACGAAACTGCAACCTAACTAAAGGCTGCTGTAAGAGTCTCCGAGTCTTGCTTAGTGGCAAACCAGGCCTGACTGAGCTGCAGCTGAACGACAACAACCTTGGCTCAGCTGGTGCTAAAGAGTTGTGCCAGGGACTCTTGGATCCATCCTGTCAGCTGGAGAGCCTTCAGTAAGTAACTGCAGGACTTCTTAACATGTACATCTGGCCTGGAAAGATGTCTTGGGTTAGAGAGCATACCTTTTTTTGGAACATCTGGCACAGCTCACTGTGGTATTGGATCTTCTTTGTGGAGTTGGATGGAACAGCTGACAGATAAATAACAACCAAGAAAACCCCTTCCCTCGCAGGAAGTTTTCCCTAAAGTGGCTTGTAATGCCATATGAGGTATGCATACATACATATTGTCTGTCTCTGTCTCTGTCTCTCTGTCACGCACACACACACAGTATTTCTGTAGTGAACTTCAGCCCTGGATTTACATCGCATTTCTGAGAATGTTAAATGTGTGAATATATACATAGCAGAACTGCTGAGTGAAAGGTTAAATGTGTGTTTCTAGACCCCAACATGGGTGCCCTCCAGACATGTAGGTCTTCAGCTCCTGTCATCTCCTGTGCTAGTTGAGGATAATGGGAGTTGTAGGCTAACACTCTGGAGGGCACCATGGTAGCGAAGGCTGCCCTAGACGTATGTTCAGCAAGAAGCAGGAAGCTTGGGTTTGGATTCTTGTTCTTAACTGTGGGATTCCTCCTCCCCCTTCTCTTTTCCCACAGTATGGACTTCTGCGAAGTCTCAGCAGAAGCTGTGGAGATGCTCAGCAATGTATTGCGCACCAAGCCATCTCTGAAGGAAGTCAACCTCAGCAACAACAAGTTTGAAGATACAGGAGTGGCGTCTCTGTTCCAGAGCATGCTGGACCCCAATTGTAACCTGCGGTCCCTGCAGTAAGTTATTTATTTGTTTGTTTGTTTGTTTTTCGATTTATATCCTGCCTTTTTCCTACAAAGGGCTCAAGGCAGCTTACATCATTCTCCTCCTCCATCTTATGCCCACAACAACAACCCTGTGAGGTAGGTTGGGCTGAGAGTCTGTGACTGGCCCAAAGTCACCCAGTTGGCTCCATGGCTGAGCAGGGACTAGAACCCAGATCACCTGAGACCCAGTCCTGTGCTCTTAACCACTACACCAAACTGGCTCCACACTGGTTATGGCTTAGCCTTGCTACCTGGGATTGTGCCAGTGGCCTCTGTGCCATGCAGGTGACTGAAGTGGCTTTTCATAGGCAAGTTGTGGGTTGTCATAAGTTCTTGCTGGTTGGTCAGGGTCAGATCTTGCTGCTCTTGCTGCAGTCTGCTGTGATTTGGGTGTTGCTCCTGCTGCTGTGTGAATTGACCTCTCTCATTGGAATAGAAGCATTTAAAGCTAATGAAGTTGAGGTAGGAATTTCTTGGAGATGTTCATAACTCCCCAAGCACCTGGTGGCTGAATACAAAAGCTTGCTTGCCCAACATCCATTTTTTACAACTGGTGTAGAAGGAGACTTACCATAGCCTAATTTGGGTAAGTTCTGGTTAGGATATTCTAGGGCATGGAGTGCCCTTGCCACCTCTGTATGTCATTGCATGTCACCGTTCTGGAAGCTTGGCCTTTATTGGAGCCATTCCTTCATGTCGTGATTACCTTGTTCATCATCGGTAAGGTATAGTTTCTGCATGTTGTTGTATTCCTCTGGGAAAGATGAGTTTTGCTTCTTAAAATGGTTCTTTTGCATCTAACGTATAGGGTCTGGTCCCAGTTAGAAAAAGTAGACTAGCAATGGGGTAACAAGGGCTTCTTGCTGCCACCTCTGTTAATGTGACCCTTAAAGCAAAAGTCCTGGCAGCTCATGTGATTTGTCAAATGCAGGTGTGGCTGCATTCAAAGCATTATAAAAGATTCTGTAAGGAGATTTGAAGCTGCCTTTGAGAAAATTCTTTCAGGAGGTTAGCTTGTCTCCTAAAATTACACCTCCTATGGTAAACAGTACCGCAGTTCTTGATGCCCTGCCCTTGGCGAGGGCTTTGTGGCTAACTCTTGCAGTACTCGGTGAGGAGTGAGCGAGGCTCACCGCTTCCCACCTGGTGCCCAGTGAGGGACCATATGCAGCTGTGTGAGTGGCTCCCCTCTTGCCTGGGTCTTCAGATACAGGGCAGCAGGCAAGGTGGGGCAGAGCTAAGCACCCGCCTTGCCACAATGCTGATTGTGGCAGATGAGGAGCACCTGGACACAGTGGCCAGGGCAGGACTGGGAACGAGAGGAAAGGGAAGGCGGGAGAAGGGAGAGGAGGAGGAGTGGCAGAGCGCACGACAGTGGCAGCAGGCAGGAGAGACATGGAAAACAGGGTAGTGGGTCGAGGGAAGAGGCGTGAGGACATGACATTGGGGGCTCGTGGAAGGGGCGCAGGGCTATGGGTCAGCTGGACTTTCCCTGACAACCTCGGGATGGACAAGGCAGCCCCAGCTGGTTCTGCTTCCTGCAGTGCCCCGAGAGTGCCCGGTCCAGCTGCAGGAGTAATAGAAGATGAAGGCATCAGAAGACCTACTCCAGCAGGCAGAAGCAGATGGAGTGGTTCTGGGAGTGCCTCTGTGCTAAGAACTTGGGGTTGCAGAGAGTGGGGAAGGCTAGTGGGGAAGGCAATGTTCTTTGCCCTAAATTGAGGGAAACCTCTGCGTGGGAGTAGAGTCTCCTTTTCTCTGCTCATCAAGCTCGTTGACACCCAGGATGGTTAATTTCCTGTTAAACTTCAGAACCGGCAGTTGTAGTGTGCTATCTTGAATGGAGGTAGTGGAGCAAGGGGTGGGGGTGTTGATGTTCTCCTACTCCCAGACCCAGAAACACACTTCATAGACTTTAAGGAGGCCAATGAAACTGCAGCCTGCAGGAAATCAAAAAGCCATGGTTTCTCTTCCTGGGGAATGGTGTCCCTTCTGGCAGCACCCTGCGGTGCTCCACTATCTTATCTCACTTAGATATTTATAAAATGTTTGAGAATTCTCCCCTCTCCAAATGACAGGTGAGCTTGAAGACTTTTGAGCCCAGCAATGATGAAGACAAGATGGCCAGATTAGGTGAACTGAAAAGCATCACAGACTCAACCTCCCCAATATTTTTTATAAGCTTCCTCTTTTAATGTTCTCCTCTTTTTTATTTTATGTTTTGAGCCAAGGGAATATGACTTCAACTTGCTGCAGTTAAGACTTCAGAGGCATTTCTGTTTGTGTATCTGGAAATACTTTGAAACAGAAAGTTTCCTGATGATTAGCGGTGTTCTATCTGAACTTTAATTAGACTGTAACAGCCATAAAGATATTTGTTACTTCTGTTTAAGAGGCTAAGACTTATGGATGGGGAGGACTGACCTTGATATGACTGGTGAGAAATGGTGCTCTTCTTTGTTTTATTGTCAATTTATTTCTTTGACAAGAAACTACTGAGAGAGTGAAGCCAGGGAAGCGTATCTCATGTACTGTGGCTCTTGATGCTTCCAGATTAATTTGCACATGTCTCATTTTGAAAGTTGATCTGCACTTCCTGGAGAGCTTTATTTTGCTGCAAAGATAATGAAGATTCATGGACCACCCACTCCCCAGTTTTGTCTGAGGGGATGGAAGGGGTACTGGAGTACCAGGCTTTCAAGCTTATAATGCAGAAGTAAAATGAATTGTGGCCTATCATCACCATCTGCTGGACTTGGAAAAAAATGAGACAGAAGAAAAGTTTCCTATTTGCTGATGGACTGATTGAAACCTTTTCAACAACTTTGATTAATTTTCTGAGAATTTTTCTTAATTCACAGTAATATTTTAATAACAAAAACCAATATTAAAATAGAGTGCAACTAATAAATGTAACATTGTTAAAAGAGTAACTAATACTCTGATTTTATCCATTACTCTTCTGGAATGAATTCAAATATTAGAAGCTCATTATAAGAAATTATAAGACAAATCAACCTTAATTGAACTTAGACAACTAAAAAATCAACTAGACATGACAGAGACAGAAGAGACACAAAAGAAGTTGAGATTTTTCAAACAAAAACATTTTAAACATGCAAATAAACATAGAAGATACTGAGCGTACTGTCTTAAAAGAGAAATGGAAAGGTGAAAAAATGGGTGAAAAAAACAGGTGAAATGTCATACATTTCATATGTATGAAATTACATATGTGGGGAAGGAAATTCATAACCAGTTCTCCAGTTTTTTCCCCAAATTTATATTAAGTCATTTTCTGGAGTTGAGTTTTTTAATAAAAATTTGGCATTTGATAAGAAGAATTAGCCCTCTAATTTCTTCTTTGATGTCCCTAGTTGAAGCATATGGAAAGTATTTAAGGAAAAACAATGATCTTAGAACCTATGGTGGTATGATTGATCAACAAGGATGAGTGAACAACTTGACAGCAACTAAAAGATGAAGAGAAAAATACAGAATGACTTGTTTATTACCAGTTCATTTCAAGATTGAAAGGGAAAATCCAGTCAGGGGAAGCTACTGTAAGAGACCTGACAGAATGTGAAAAGCTGATTACACAACAAAACGATCATCTGAAGGAAGACTTTATAAGCAATTACTCCAATTTGAAGCTGAAACTCAGAAAGTTAAGAAATGTATGATAGCATGGACACAGAACCTTGGAGATGAAATATCATCCTGCCAATGGGAAGCTTTATGGAAAAAAGATATTATATTTGCAACCAGTCAAGCACTAAGAGAAAACTGGTATAAGATGTTTTTTTCGGTGGTATATTGCCCCAAAAGATATAGAAAAAATGGACAAGAATTATAATGGAAAATGTTGGAAATGTAAAGAAGTAGATGAAACTTTCTACTATATGTGGTGGACTTGTGATAAAATTAAAAGATTTTGGAAGTTGATACATGCAGAAATTAAAAAATACCCTTTAAAATCAACTTTCCTATGAGTGCTAAGCATATGCTTTTGAATATTCTGCCAGAGACTTTTTTCAAATAATATGTTAGAGTTATTTAAATATATGACAACTGTAGAGAGAATTACCATTGCTTCTAAATGGAAAACAGCAGAATATCCAACAATTACAGGTTGGAAAAATAACTTGGCTGAGTATGCAGTGATGGCAAAATTAACTAATTACTTAAACAGAAGACCCATTGAAGAATTTAATGATAAATGGAAATTCTATTATAATATAGAACAAAAGGCAGCTTGTTAAAATATTGTTGATAATTTATAATTGATTCAGAGTGATGGGAAAATTTGTTGGTTTGGAGAACTGTATCTTTTCTGTGAGCTTCAACAAAGTACCAATTGACAGAAAGATAGAAATTTTGGGGTTTGAGGGAATTTGTATGTTAATTTTGCACAAGATCCCTTGGCATTCTTATTTTTCTTCTACATTTTTCTTTCGTTCTGCACTTTATTTCTTTTAAGAAAACTATTTTTTTTAATGCCATGGTTGCCTTAAACCCAGTGGGTGGGAGCTGTGGGAGTCGAGCTGGATAAAACCTTACTTGTGGCTTGCTCTCCAGCAAAATGATTCTCAGCACTGTCTTTTGCTTCTGTTCATCTGCAGCCTGGAGAACTGTGGCTTCACAGAAGCGGCCTGTGAGAAGCTGAGCGCTGTCCTCAGTGCAAAACCGTGCCTGACAGAGCTCTACATAGGCGAGAACAAGATTGGCAATGCAGGAATAGCACTTCTGTGTCGGGGTGTACTGGAGCCAAGCTGCAAAATAGAGAAGCTGTCGTAAGTGCCTCATCTGGAGCAGGAGCTCATCAAAGGCAGGCTGTTACTGCACACAATCTTGGCTCATGCTGAGGTTCCTCAGCGTAAGCCAAGAACTTCTCAGCAGTGGGTGGGGAGACCCTACTGGATAGCCAGACTGCCCAAATCAGGCATTGCAGGCAGTGGAACAACTAGTCCAGGAGTCAGGTTAATTGTTGCTAACATTTCTGCATTTAACCCTTAAAAAGCCATCAAGGTAGTAATTTAAAAACAGTTAAAACATTACAGCTACGCGTTTTGAAAGGCCACATTGATGCATTTTTGTGTCCCTCTGAAGGCGAGGAGAGAGAGGGTGGGCACTGACTGTAACTCTTGGAGGAGTGTGTGCCAGAGTTTGGGGGTGATAACAGGAGTAAGGCCCTTCAGGTGTGCCCAGTTAACAGACGTGATGGTGTCCTCAAAGGGACCTTTCCTGCAGACCTTAGTTTAGCCCTATATTTCAACCAGGAAGCTTTGATCTCTGTTCTTTGCATCCATGCGCACAGCTCGGATTTTCAGCCTGGAGTCCCACAGACCTGTTTTTCACCCTCTGGAAAATGTGCTCCTTTAGTGCAAATGACAGTTTTTGGTGAATACTGCGTAGGTTGAATTCCATCTGCAAATCAGCCTTTTCCAAAAGTGTATTTTGAGCATCCATCAGTCTTCTGCCACCTAGCGCCCTGTCAAGGGGCAGCACTGCAATTCCCAGCATTCCCCAGACAACATTTCATTCATCATCAGTTTTGCTGTAATTTTGCATTTCCTAGGGAAAGGTACAAGCACATGCAAATATGGGACATAAATCCAAATTTTACATACCTGTCTAGGTGAACCTGTCAGACCTTTCAGGTGCATTCCTAAAGGGACAGGGCTCTTGGTCTGTGTTCATTCTTGGGAATCTCTGGTACGTCTGCTTAATACAAATGAAGGGCGTGTTTCTTAGGAGGTCTTCTTCATGTTAGAACACATTCTGCCAACGTCCTGTGGACTTTAAAGGGTTTCAAATGGTTCTTGCTTGTGGTATAAGAGCTATAGTGCCTTCATTACTGTTTCAGGTTATGGGAATGCAACATCTCGGCTGCTGGCTGCAAGGAGCTCTCCAATGTCATCAGTACCAAAGAGACTCTTCGGGAGTTGAACCTGATTGGAAATGAGATAAAAGATGAAGGCATGGACATCATTTGTCAAGGACTGAAGAGTCCGAACACCAAGCTTGAGTCACTGTGGTAAGCTCACAAATGGCTTCTTTTGCAGCTGCTTCCTGGGTTCCTAAATGCAGTGAGGTGTTTTATTTAACAGGATGGGTCTGCAACTTGAGGGTAGATGATGAAGGGGGAAGTACAGCTTAAGGGGCTTTTCTGCAGACCCTTCTGCCTGGCCTCTGGTTCCAAGGATCTTCCTAGGCAACTCTTCTCCAGCCAGTCAAGTTGCCAGCAAAGGCCTACTTAATCAACTCTTCTCTAGCCTTCTGTATTATACTAGCCTCCTGCAACCCAGGATCCTTCAGATGCATTTAACTACTACTCCCAATGTGGTGGTAATTGTGGTCCAATACATTTGGAGGGCCCCAGATTTGGAAAGGCTGTCCTATAGCAAAGAAACAGTGTCAGGGTTCTCAATTTCCCTGCTCCCTGGTCCTCCTGCAGCTGAGGCCTCCATGGGGTGAAAGCCTGAAGCACACAGAATGGAGGGCTGCCCTTGGAAGAGGAGCAGCAAGGCTTGCTTGGGTTCTGGGCTCATGCGGGAGGGAATGGAGCCGGGGCTCCTTCCGCCTTTTTGTCAGGATAGCCCTTGTTGAAAACTAGCTGCTGAACGTCCTAAAGAAATGGCAGACTTCTGGGAAAACAGGAGTAGATGCTGGGGGAAGGCCACCTGGGTTTCCAAGCGTCCGGATGTTCAGCAATGCCCTTATTTGTCTACCGCAGGGCAAGAGAATGTGGTCTGACTTCGGCCTGTTGCCAGAGCATTAGCTCTGCTCTTGCCGTGAACGGGACCTTGAAAGAACTGCATATAGGCAGCAACAAACTTCGTGATGAAGGGGTGATTCAGCTCTGTGAGGGAGTGATGAGCCCAACTTGCAAGTTACGGTCCCTCTGGTAAGTGACCTTGTAGACATCTGTGATTTGTCAGCACTTTCTGTGATTTGTAAGCTGAGAATCCTGTCTGAGTCACAGCAGGTGGCCCTCTAAACTGTTCCATATGGGTGTCAGATGCTCTTTTAAGCTCATCTCTTCCATGGACATACCTGTTGTGAGTGATTGACAGCCTTACTCAAAAAGAGGCCTGCAGCAACAGGTTCATGTTTGGATATGGTGAGCTGAAGGGCTGAAGGCGTCTTCTTGGGAACAGGCTCTTCACATTGCTTCCTTCTGCAAGAGAAGAATTTTTCTTCTTTCTTTCGACATTAGCTGGAGCAAAGCTCTTCCTAAATGTTCTGAAAAGCAATTCCTTCAAATGAAGCTGCTTCCTCTGAACTATTAGATTAAACAAACGTTTATTTTGGGTGGCTAGTGAAGAGACTGTGGTTCATTGGGTTGAGCCCACTCTGCTTTACTTCCAAGACAAAATGTAGGAGTTGTGCCCTCAATAATAGGAATACCCCAAGCTCAGATGATCAAACACAAGGTGGCAGGAGCAAAAGAGGCAAGCCTCATCTCCACACTTTCCAGGAGAAGGGAAGGGTGCTGGAAGGAGCTGGGGTGATGTGTGCTCTGGCCTCCCTGCCCTCCTCCTCACCCACTGGAGCATCCCTTTCTTCCCTCTCGGCGTTTGAGCTTTCAGCTTCAGAAAGGCAGCAGGCATGGTTGTCTCTGGCTGGCTGTGAGGGCAGCGGGTTGGATCTCTAGCTCCTCCTTCCAAGATCAAAATCCAGCAACTTTGGCAGGATTGTAGGAGCAATCCTGTGGTCCTTGGGAGACTCCCCAAGGGTCCATAGGAATGCTCTCTCACTGAAGCATCATCCTAACATTTTCTAAGTAATGTACAAAGATCACGAAAACGATGTTCCTGGCAACAGGCTTGCACTCTCATTTGTGCGGTAAGAAAGGCCGTGCTTTTTCCCTCTCCCTCTGCTGCAGCCAGGCAGAGCGCTTCCTCACAGTCCTCACGGCTGTACCTGTTGCTGAATTCTGCCTTGGCAAAGAGGGGGAGTTCTATGCTAGCTGTTCCTGTGAATAAGCAACATGAAAAGGGTCCCATGAAAATCGGCCCCTATTTGTCCTAAAACTCTCCGTCCACTTGGATATGGTGTCCAAGCTCTTCCTAAACTTTTGAGAGTCACACACTTCTCTCAAATTGTACCATATTCAAACAGCTGAGGGTTACAAGGGTCTTTGGTCACCCACACCCCTAATTTACATGTGAATTCTTAGGATACCAGATGCTGTATCTGAAAAGCATCCTCAGCAGTTCTTTAAATGTGCAGAGTGTATTGCACTCTGATTTATATATTTGTGTATGATTCTGGAGATCTTCTTTTTCCTCAAAGTCTTACTGGTTTACTGGTCTCCTGTTCACACAAAAATCCCCCAGCGGCCATCTATTCTTCGTTTAGTCTCACAGGGGCAAGGCAGTCTGCTGCAGTTCCCAGCTGGGTGGAGATCCAGTAGGCCTGCTGCATACAGGTGGCTGAGCAAAAACGCCACAGAGGTGTGCCACTCTCCTGCAGAGCTTCCATGCAAATAAAGCTGTCTTGTTGGGGCTCTGATGCTGATTAATTTTATATTTAAACACATTTGCTGCCTTTCCACCTGCAAAAGGGGCCACTGCAAAGCAGCTTCTGAAAAAAAGTAAATATGCAATAAGAGAAACTTAGGGCTTACTCTTTAGTAAGAAGGATTGTAGCCTAACTGGTGTTATGTAGCAGTAATCTTCCTTCAGTTGGGAGGGGCCAAACTGATCCTGGTGTGATATTTTCATGGTGAAGTCACTTGAACAAATAGGGACAATGTTCAAGCTTTTCCTTATAATTGCAGCACTAGTTCGTATGCTTCTGTGCAAGAAGTGCATGCTAAAAGGCCAAAGGGCCACTGCCAGCACACACAAAGTGTGTTTCCCAAAAACGATTCCATATCTGAGGTTCTAGTTTTTCTTGCCTTCTGATCCAGTGCTGTGTACCTAAAACTTGTCAGCTGCTTTTGATAGTCATGGAAAGGGAAGTGCCCAGAAGGCAAAATGGTAGAAAGGAGAAATGCTTGCCTTGTGTTTACAGATTCAACAAGCCCCACACCCCAAGGAGACCCCTGCAGGGACATGGCTGTCTGGTGGATATTGCTTACTCTTATCCTAACCCCTTTAGGCTGGGATTATCTGGTCTCACCTCTGCTTGCTGTGGGACACTTGCCCAAGTCATGGTTGGAAAACCATGTCTCGAAGAACTGGATGTCAGCTACAGCCAAATAGAGGATGAAGGTGCACGTATCCTCTGTGAAGCTGTGAAGAATCCAAACTGTCACCTGAAGTATCTAATGTAAGTGGGCCCTTTCCTTTCCGAGGGGCTGAGAAACAGGGAGACAAGGGTGGGATCAGGAAGCCATTTCATCTACAAGGTGCAGGGTGCAAAGACCATCACTGCATTCTGATTTAAAGCTGTATAGGACATTCTTGGGTGGGCTCTAGAAATGCCTCCAGCACATTTGAAGCCAGTCTGCTGTGATGACAGGAATCCGCTCAGGAACGGGGATTGGTGGCCAGGTGATGAGGGTGCGGAATCTTTGTGCAACACAGTTTTCTCTGTGCCCCATTAACTAGTCGGCTGCCCTACAGTGGAGTGGAGAGTGCTGAAATATGTTTCAGCTACTGGCCCAATCAGCATTTGTGCTGGGAATGGAAGAGGTACTATCCTGTCCTTTGCCTCAGGCAACAAAATATTTTGGCCCGGCCTGTTAGCCACTGTTGTATGCATTCTGGGGGAAGCACCACTCTAGTGAGGTCCAGTGTCCTTGACACTGATGAGAATCAGACAGCATGATAACCCACAGTCGGGTTAAGTATGGGCTGTCACTGAATAGTGAGCCATTGTTGAAACATGGGTTAATTTGTTGTCTGAACCTGCAGTTCACAAACCATGGGTTCTTTCATGGGCTGTTTGTCATAAACAAGCTATGGCTTGTTAGCACAACTGGGTTCAACACAAGGGTGTGTGTGTGTGTGTGTGTGTGTGTGTTAGTTAGTTATTTCATTGTATATGCTGCTACATTAGTCCACACTTGGGCTCTCTACTACATCTCAGTAACTAACTGTTCAATGGCAACCCATGCTCAGTCCATACTCAGCTGTTGAGTGTGGGTTCTCATGCTGCATGAACCCAGCCACACTCCAGAGGAAATACGGGAACATTTCCAGCCCTGCCTGGGAAACTCCCTACCTGCCTGAGATTGAACCCAGGACTTTCTGCATGTACATCATGAGCACTACCACCAAGTTCTGCCCCCTGACTTCCACAGTTTCTCTCTTGAGGTGGCATCTTGATGCTTTCTCTTGAAATCTACAATTTTTTCTTGGTAAACGTTCAAAGGAAAAATGCCCTAAAATACAGATCCTTCAAAATGTCTGTCTGTTTATCTGGAAGAGCCACAAATTAACATTTAGAGAGCGCGTGACTTGAATTACTGGCATTGTGGCAGCCAGGCTTCTTGCCTCTGTACAAGGGGATGCTTCTGTGGAAGCTGCACTGCCACTGTCCTTTCAGCTTGGAGCGGGGGCCAGGGGAGCCAGTTCTTGCTGCGTGTTGCTTCTGTATCCTGCAGAAGTGATTGCTTACTTCAGAAAGACTTCTGTCTTACTCACTTCCTCCAGTGCAGTGGCTAGTATCGAATCCTGCTGTGCTGCTAACATGAGTGATGCCATGCTAACTTAAACTTGACCCTAGCATATCCCCAGTACTGCCTGCTGTTGCAACAGTTTTCCCCAGAAAGCTCACCAACTGGGAAGTGTGCTGTTGGTGTGGCACTGGAGAAGGTTCGTAGTAGTGCGGCATCATTTACATCGGTAATAGTGCAACGCCAGTTGCTGCCCAGTCCTAGTGATTCTGGAACTCTCATCTGCTGGCTGTAGAGATACTAACCTGTATGGAATTCTGTTGCAGGTTGTACGATACATACTGGAGTTCTGAAGTGGATGATGAACTGAATGCCCTAGAAGAGCTGAAGCCTGGATTTAAGCTGATTACATGAGTGACGCGAGTGCACAGCGACTTCTTCTATTGCCTTTTCTTCTTCTGGGATTCTTTTTATAAAACCAACTTAAGTTTCCAAATTTGTGGACGTGGCAAGTGTGGCATGGCTAGAAGCCACTTTGAAAATTAGGAACGTTGGACACCTCATTTGCGAGGCTGCCTTGGAGAAAAAAATTGAAACATCTGTTTGGTGCTGGCTAAATATAAATTGATGAAATGATGGGGTGGTGGGGTGGAATTCTGCCATTCAGAAAAGACAGGAGCAGCTCAAAGTAGAATACATCCCTTATTAGCTGTTATAAAACTGTAATGGCTATGGATACTTACAGAAAATTAAAATTATTCTCAAGGGAGGGTCTATATCAGAAGCATCTAGATAGGATGAATATGCAATTAATGCTCTTTTTTATTGCCAGAGTAGTGATACAATGTGTGCCTCCCCCTTAAACATCAGCAATTTCATATTTTCTGCTGAAAGTGCAACAAATGATCTTTGTGTATCTTGTTCAACAAGTCTAGCTCTATAGAAACCTAAATAAAGTTTGCTAGCAAAGATGTACTTGTGTGGTTACTTTTTTGTTAACATGGGGCACTAAAATCTTATGTGAATTTAGAGAGTTCATGTTTGGGTTCATTTTATGATTGCCTTAGACCCCACAGCCCACTAAAAACAATAGCAATAATTCCCTGTACAAGATGACTCAGTGACCCATTTTGCATGATCGGCAGGTGCTTGTTGCAATTTTGCAATTTTGCAATTTTGCAAATTTGCAAAATGTGTGTAATTAGATTTGCAGATACGTGTAATTACCCCCATCAGTGTAGCTTGTCATGTCATGTGAACCTGACCAGGGTGGCTTCTTGCTGTGGCCAGTAATCCACCAAGAGCCTACAATATCCCCTGAGTTGTGGCCGGCCATGTTCACACAGCACATCATGCTACCGAGGGCAAGTGTGCTAATTCCCCTGGCATGCATGGTAGGGGAAATTAGCTGCCATGGGGTATTTTCCCAGCTTTGATCATGCAAAGTGAGTCTGCGTTTCAGTGACAGGTGATGACAGTGGGTGCACTTTTGTGATCACTTTTCAGAAGTGACATTCTGGGTCTCGAGGCTTTATGGTTGACCTGCTGACCGCTAGATGTCAGTGTGCTTTCTTCACTGGCACCATTCAAGTTCTGTTTCAAGATCTGTATGTAACCTTGGTTTCTGAAATACTGCTGCAGTCTAAGACATATTTGCTTCCAGAAGTTTTATATATGCTAGATAGGCACTGAGGCTGCTTTTCACCCTTCCTGATTTGACCTACAATGTTGGTGTCATAAAGTACCCTGTGGTAAAGTACCCTGAGGACTTTTTAAATGCAAGTGTGTATAGAATACTTTTCAAAAGGAGTGTGTGCGTGTGCACACACACGTAGCTTGCACATGTATGAACACATAGCTTGCTTTGCATTTAGGACATACAGGCTGGCATGGTAAAACATGCAACTGGAAGGAAATGGATCGCTTAAAGCTTGCTTCACGTTCACAAAATGCAGATACACAGCTTGCTCTGATATTCTTGCAAATCCTCCAAACAGGACCTTGAGTTTTGGCTAGTCTTGGAGGCAAGGGAATTTCATAGCTGCAGGAGAGCAAAGGAGATGGGCACTCAGGCGATCCAAGTTGTAGTCCCCATTCACCTAACTGGGTGAGCTTGGGCCAGTCACAGATAATGAACAGGGTTGCTGTGAGGATAAGACTGAGAGGAGGAGATGTAATCCACCTTAAGTTTCTTGATAGGAAAAAAGGCACTGGATATATTGTAAGAAAATACATTTTGCAACTGACAGAAGATTTAAAGTGATGGCTTTAATTTAGAGATAGCTGAAGTTAGTCCTCCTTAGAGCAGACCTATTGAAGCAAATGGAGAGTGTTAGACTAACCCTGGATACAACCCATAGATGGGAATGTAAGTTTCTACATTTACTAAGCAAAGGCTTGAATTGGTGTCAAAGCTATTCCTACAATGGGACCCAGAAGGTACTGGGGATTTGGTGTAAGGCTTCTCACAGAAGTTTTACATGTCTTCCTTATTCTTTCTAAAATCCTGATCTCAGGAATCAGAACTTTAAACTGGTGGTACATGTAGCTGGACAAACTCTGAGGGGAGAATATGATCAAGTTGAAGGACTGGCAGAGTAGGAATGTTGGCAGGCCTGAGACGGGCTGCTGTCTGTGTCCCTCTTTCTCATTTTTGCAGATGAGAAACGGCCTAAAGGAGGGGAGAATCCACTTCCCACTCCAAACTCTTTATATGGAGCAACTGTTCCTTTAGATTTTTGGCAGGTTCAGCAGAATATCTTCTTGCTGATAGCCCCTTTCTTGGCTAGGGTCATACTGCATTTGACATCTTCATAGTTCTATGCTTAAATGTTGCGTCTGTTATTATTGCGAATGCTACCTCTATGTTGTGTTGAGCAGTTTTGGGAAAGATGAGTAGCACCTTGTTTTCTGGCATGCTGAACTGAAATGCTGCTCAGTCTCAAAGCTCTGTGGGAGTGGATGTGTGTTGAGGATTACAGGGCATGCTGTAACTGGGGGAGAAAGGATAAGCTCTGATCTAAGCCAAATGCCCAGTTCGTTCTCAAATTCCCTTTTACATTTGGTATAGATGAAGCAAGGGAATGACATCTTTTGATGCCTCCATGACAAGAGAAGGTTATGGCTGAACATGCTCTGCTTTTTCTGTCCTCTGAAAATGAAGTTCCCCTCCTCTCCTCGCCTCCTTGCGGTCAGTCCATCCTCAGGGAGACTGCCAGCCAGTGGGTGTGTGAGCTTTGTGTTCAGTGGTGCAGAATAACCGGATGGGCAGGTTGTGCCTTTGCCCTTGTAACTAAAATTAATCAAGGGGGAGTAAACTCACTAGAGCCACTCCAGAACTGTAGGCGTGTTGGCTCGGCTGGTTGCGTGTAATTGCTCAAGATTTACTTGTTAATGTGTTGTATCCACTCCTGGAACAAAGAGTGCTGTGCCTTTTTCCCCCTTCTGGCACATTCCTTAAGTCAGTGGTAGGAAAGCCAATGGTCCCCCACACGCTGGACTGTAGTTCCCATCATCCCTTAGCACTGACTACGCGGCTGAGGCTACTGAGAGTTGCAGTCCCCCAACATCAGGAAGGCTGCGTCTTCTCCACTCCTGTTCTAGGCAGATGAGAACTAGTCCTGTGAAATGGTTGGAACAGCCTCTCCAGCATGTTACCTTCTGGTTGTTTTGAACCCCAGCTCCCAGAATTTCTCCTCATTGCCTCTACTGGCTGGAAGTGATAAGGGCTGAAATTCAAATTATCTGTAGAGCACTAAATTGTGGAGGGCTGCATTCGTGTGCCATGCCTGGACTGGAGAAGCTCACAGGGAAGCCGAAAGCTTGTCAGATGACCTTGAACTAGTCTCTGCTTTCAGCTGAGCCTACCTCACAGGGCTTTTGTGGTAAAAATGGAGCAGTGGGAACCATGTGTGCTGCCTTGGTCAAGCTTTTTGGATGAGTTTCAGTTGATGGAGCTCAAAGATGTTGACAGTGCTTGGACAGGTCCATGCAACCACATCCATATCGGATCATTGCCCCTGTTGGCTAATAAAATCTGGCAGAAAAGGAGCAGCCGGCTGGGCCAGGGAAGTGATTAAAACCTCCCTGTGAGGGGGAGTGGTCCCATGCTGCCTGAGAGTGGGTGGTGAGATCACCCACAAGAAGCCCTCCCTGCACCCAGAAGATCCCAACAACTTCAGGTTGGCGGGAAACGCCCCATTCCTGGGCAAAGTTCTTCAGTGGGGGATGGCCAACCAGCTCCAGGCAGTTCGGGATGAGACTGATTGCCTGGATCCATTGCATTGGTGTTCAGGGCTAGTTTTGGCATAAGAGCAGCTTTGGTCACCCGGTAGGATGACCTGTGCCATGAGCTGGGATGACCTTTTGATGCCACCAGCCATGGTGTCCTTGTGGGGCAATGGTCTGAGCTGGGAGCGGGCAGCACGGTGCTGCAATGGTTCTGCACCTACTTTGATGGCCAGCTTCAGAGGGTGGCGCTTGGGGAGTATTGCTCAGCCCCATGGATTCTCTGGCAGGGGGTTCCACAGGGATCTGTTTTGTCCTGCATGCTACCTAAAATCTACATGAAACTCCTGAGTGGGGTCATCCAAAGTTTAGGAGGGCATCTGTATGCTGCTAACATGCAGCTCTGTTTCTCCTTTTCCTCTGTAGTTAAGGCTGTGGATGTGCTAATCTGGTGTCTGGCTCTGATGACGGACTTGATGAAGGGAATCTATGCCCAGGTGATCTCCAGGTTAGATAACAGCAATGCACTCTGTGTGGGGCTGCCCCTGAAGACTGTGTGGATGCTGAAAACTGTCTGAACTGTGGCAGCCAAACTAATAATTGGGAGCAGAAGTTCAGAGCAGACAGGACCAATTCTACCCCCTTTGCACTGGTTGCCGGTATGCTTCTCAGCCTGATTCAAGGTGCTGTGTTTAACCTATGCCAACCTGGCACTGACTCTGTTGTTTTTCTGGCATGAGGTTAAAACTGCCTCTATGCTGTGGCATTTAATGACTTTTAAATAACTTCTAGTGGCATTTGAAGGGTTTATGTCTACAGTTGCCTAACCTGTTGAATGTACAGAATGCCTTTTGCTTCTCAAATGGCTTTAGAATTCTGCTTTTATGTTGTATATTGAATTTTATGCTACTTTTATTTTTTCTGTAACAAATAAATTTTGTTGCAATCGGTGGTGTTCCTATGAGCATATGGCAAACCTCCCTTTAAAAAACCCCCATAAGCCCAGTTGCCTGTTTCTGGTGTATGGCAGCCTCCCCAACCTGCTGTTCTCCAGATGGCCCTGCTAGCTGGGGCTGATGGGAGCTGAAGTCTGTAACATTGGAAGGGCACAACAGATATTCCACACAATTACCAAAGCTGAAAGACAGGCAATCCTGAGCTGATCAGGAAACGATGTTGTTAGTCCAGATTCCTCACTGGCATACAGATGCCAATGCATGTCTACCCTGAAACCATTTCCTCCTGCTGTCCCTTTTCTTAATCCGTTCAACCCTTTCTTTCCACTATCACCTGCCTCTTGTAAACTGCCCAAGTGACTAAGATATTACAAAAGCACCCTGTACAGTTGAATTCTTTCTAGGCAGACTTTTCTCTCTCCACCTTACTACAAACATGTACATTTACCTGAATAAACCGTAATGTTCTTTTGATTGAACATCCCCAGCATAGCTGCATTCACAGCTTCTTGACATTAGCAAGGTACCTGCCCTGCTCCTAGGTATGAGCAAGATCAGCATCCCCATTCATCCTTCAATATGTAATGGGGAAAGAAAAATGTAAGGGGGAAGGAAGACCTTCTTAAGGAGCCATCTCCCAGGGAGGTGAAGGGGATGGCAGCAAGAAGAAGGGCCTTCTTGGTGGTTGCACCCCATCTTTGGAATAGGCTTTCCAATGGCCTGCTGCCATTGTTATCATTTCAATGCCAGGCAAAGAGATAACTCTTCTCCAACTATTTTAGCAGTTG